TTCGAACGATGAAGACGATATGATAGAAGAAATTGAAGAAGAAGACGAAGAAGAAGAAAAGAATGAAGAAATGGAAGAGCAAATACAGGAAGAAAATAAGATATTGCAGTTCATTAAAGAAGACATGTTCACGAATATTAAATTTCCTATTGTAGTCAGATGGACTGATTTATTACCTGATCCTTCACCTATCGAAAACAACGAAACTGAAGAGCTTGATATTATGCTTAAGGAAACAGAACTTAGTAAAATAAATTTGTTTTCTTTGAGGGATGATAGTTATGATAAACTTACTTATTTCGGAACGAATTTAGAGTTACTTCCTATAGAACGTTGTATAACTTATGGAATATTGGAAAAAGTTCACGAAGAAAATGAAATTATCGATAGTGAAGAAACGAAGAAAGTCGAGAAGAATGAAGAAATTATTGCAATCGAAGATATCGTAGATCTTAAAGAAGTTAAAGAAATGTGGAACCATAAACACATCGAGGTTGAGGAAGATGTTGCGTATCAAATGATCGAGGAAAACATCAATGATACGAGTTTTAAAGAAATTTATGTTGACAAGGATATCCAACTAACGGATGAGGAAGAGAACGAAGAGAACGAAAAGAACGATTTGCGAACGACAGATGAAGAGATGTACGAATGCGAAGAAAATAATATCGATATAAAATCAGATTTTGAGGTTAAAGAGAAGATCAAAGAAGAGGTTAAAGAGGTTGAAGAGGTGGTTGAAGAGGTGGTTAAAGAAGTGGTTAAAGAGGAGATTAAAGAAGAGGTTAAAAAGGAGATTAAAGAGGAAAAAAAAGAAGACAACAAAGAACAATTGTCTTTGTATGCTATCTTCACTTTTGGACTAGTTGTCTTGTATTTTTATATTCAATATTATTACAAAGAAATATTTACATTTAGACAAATTTCCGTGTCCACATCGAGTTTAAAACCTTTTGAAATTCATGCAATGCCAACGTCGACAACTACATTCTTAAAAAATTCAAAGCTTATAAAGAAAATCAAGAAAGAAAAAGAAAATAAAGAAGAGAGTCTAAACGAAAACAAAGAAGAAATCGATCATGATTCGTTAAAAAGTGTCATCGATTTCGAAATGTCAGAAATTTCTAGTTTCACCGATTCGGAATTCAATTTTGATCCCAATTGGCATAAAACGTCCTGGAGTAATTTAAAGATGATACATGGGCATAGTTCAAAAGAGATAGGTAACGAAGTGAAAAGGATTGAAATTCATTCAATTTTCATGTCTGATAATAATTTAATTCATAATTCATCGAATAATCAATTGCAAGATGAAATAGATATTTGTTTGGATGAGAAATTGGAATCGCTTTCTCCGCATTACAGCCTAGTCAGGAATAGCAGCCAAATGAATATAATCGAATTTTACGAAAAAGAAAATAAACTTCAATTCATCGAACCTGATCTCAAATTGTTAGAATTGCGTCTTGCGCAGGAAGAGATAGATACTCTTCAATACAAAGACGATGATTCGAGTTCGACAAAATCTCTGCAACACGAGAACGAAACAAAATTATTCGAAGAGGCATCGTACAATTCTTACGCGAAGGTAAAAATAAGCGAGAAAGAACAACTTCAAAAGAATTACGCTATAAATCGAAAAGATAGTCCAAGAAAATCAGAATTATCCGTTTTCTACGAAATTCCGGTAGAGCACGAAGAGTCAGAAGAGCAACAAGAGTACGTTTCCGAAAAAATTATTTTTTCCAAACGAAACGAGCAGGTTGAAGAGGTTAGGTTATCCGTGGAACAGAATAAGCAACCATCGAATTCGGCACAATTTATGGAAACGACCGACAGTTTCGACTCGACTTATACCAAAATTTCCGAAGTCTCGAGAAACACTGTTTCCGTAGATTTGAACAAATCCTCGATGGAAGATTTCACGATAGGATCGAACGAGTCGTACGAGTCGCACGAGTCGAATCAGTCGAACGAGGATAGATGAGAAAAAAGAAATCGTCCATGAATCATTTCGTTTCGTTCCGATTTATTTTTTCGTATTTTTTTTTTTTCTCGCGATAACGATCGATGGATTTTAACTCAATAATAAATGATCCGGGAACTTTTGAAAGAGATTCTTCTTTTTTTCTTCGAAAGAAATTCGTTTTATTTTGCATTTTGTATAAAAAGAGAAAAAAATAAAAAAAAAAAGACTGTTACGATATAGTTGGTCCCAAAAATATCCGACCAATATTGGATACACACGTTTTATTATACGAAAAATTGTATATTATCGAATGGAAAAGCAACTTGATATATTAATTTTTAACATATACATTTATTATTTAATTCCCGTAACAATGGCCTAATCGTTTAAGAAGAAAATAACATGCATGGTGAAAAATCTTAATGAAAAATTAAGTATTATAAATATTTATTCAGGGGATCGGGTATTTTTGAGACCAACCATATATCTTTTTTTTTTCGCCTTCTTTTTATTTTTCTTTTTTTTTCCTTTTTTTATAAAAAAAAAAAAGAAATAAATGTTACGCAAATTGACATTTATGTCGATAATTATTAGAAAAGATATTTTTCCCTTTTCCTTCGATTTTACAAGAAATAATTGTTTATCTTTTGAAAAAGAAGCGAAACGCCTATCGTGAATGAATTTTATTTATTTCGTTTCTTAAACTTTCTTAACGATGATGATACTGATTTATCTTACATTTGCTATTTTATAAGTAGCACAACGTTTTTCAACGGCGATTTATTTAATGATACTTGTTAAATTTTCTTAATGATTCAAAATAATAAATGAATGTATTTTAAAGAAATCTTTTTTATACCAATATCTGTCCATATCAAGTCCACATAATATATCAAATTTTCGGTAATTATTTACGAAAAATCCATCCAGGTAATCCTCGAATAATATTGTGAAGATTTTACTTAATTCATCATATTAAAAGGTTATTAACAAAAACATTTCTCCCTTCGAAATAGTTTTAGATCAAGATACTTTATTGCTACAGATAATTAATAGCTACGATTAAGAATTGCCAATGCAAATTAAATCAGCAATTTAGCTCATCGGTTATGATTAGCTAAGTAAGTTTTTATTTAATTTTGATTTATGGTGAAATCAAACTTAGAATTAACATAGATTAATTGATATCAAACGAAAATTTATTTAATTTTATGGTTTATTATTGGGTTTGGATTAGGTTAGTAACTTTTAAATAAACATAATTAAAATTTTTAATTAATTTAATAAACTATTCAATGTGATAATCTTGACAACATATTAAAAAATTCATGGAGATCAAGGAATACATTTTTGTAAATATTTATCAAATTTCTTTTATTTTTAATATAAATTAATGATGAAAAAATAAAATATTTATTATATATTAACACTGTGATATTAATTCTTGGATGATGGATGATCTTATTTTGGATCTTTTGTAATCCATGCTATGTTGTATTAATATCTTTAGTAATAATGATTTTACAAGTAAAATTGTATGTTAACAAAATTTTGATTAAAAATAATTATGTACTTTTTTTAATGATCAAGATTCAAGATCTCATTAATTTTCATAAAATCTAAATTTATTCAAACAAAATTGATTTAATTTAAATAATCTTTACAAATGAAGTTAATTCAATTCAATCGCCCTTTTATCTCGTTATTGTGCCATTCAATAAACTTAATAAATACACTTAATTAAATACACTTCCTGTTTGCCCTTCCTTAACCACCATTTAATCGTTGGAGTGTTATCGATTTTCTATTTCCTTGTGTTTTTTTTTTAAATAGATTTTATAAATACTTTATTTTCAATTTTTATAAATTATCAAAATTAAGTTTTATTTTAAATCTTTTATACATCTATATCGTATATAAATTTATAAATGAGAACAATTTTTAAATTTAAAAATTATCAATTTTTACATTTTTTATCTTTTTAAGCTATTTTTTTTTCTTTTTAATTTTTCTCTAAAATATAAATTTTTTAAATCTTTAAACTTCTAGATTTTCAAATTCTTAAAAAATTCTTAAAAATTTTTTAATTTTCTTCCGAATATTTTTATTCATTTATATATTGTAAGATTTATAAATTCTTCAATTCAAATTATTTTATATCTTTTAATCTTTTCAGTTTCAATCTTTTCTTTAAATTTTCAAATTTTCTGCTAAGAAATTTTCTAACTTTTCTTTTTTCTCTTATTTTTTACTTTAACAAACTCTTCATTCGATTATCCTTAATTTTAACATCGATAAATATAATATTATTTGCAAATTTGTTTGTTTATAAACAACAACAAATAAACTTTTACTATGTAATACATAGACAATACAAAACAATTTTGAATATTTGGTATAGATAAAAGAAAATTATCATTTTATAAGAACTCATAATTTTGCTCATCTTATATGTTCATAATAAAATGTTTTGAAATAACTTTACAAGTATAATCATAACACTAAATGAAAAAATATTACATAATATACATGAAAAAAATACATTAAAATTGACATAAAAATAAATTTAATAAATAAAGTAACAATTAAAACATGGAAAAACACATTTAAAAAGCTGTTTAAAAAAGAAACAAGAAATTAAAACTTCAAAAACTTAAGACTTTTCAAAAATTAATTCTATATAAATTACTAATTTTTCTATAAATCTGAATATAATTAGAACAAAATAATCATATAAATTTAACTTTTTCTTTTTACTTTATTATTCATCCATTCAACGTTCTCGTTCCTAACCTCATCCACCCTTATTCACTTAACCTAACTTAAAAATTCTAATCGCATATCAATATCGCATCTTCTCGATTCTTCCGTCTCTCATTTCACATATTAATAATAATACTTTCCTCATTTCAAACCGAAAAAAAAACTCAACGTAACAGTGATCAACTCCTCTCCTCTTCGCTCCGTTCCGCGGCAACCGATCGCCGCGGCAATACTGTGTTGGTTAGCCACCGGTGTAGGTGTATATACGCATCGTAGGTGTACAACTTCGCGGTCTGCCACGGCGACGTACTGTTCTTGGCACAGTTTCTGATCATCTCCTATTGCGAGCGGATCGCGCTGGACCTAATATCATTGCGCCTCGCGCCACCCAAATTTCTGTGAAGCCCCTCTGAAATCTCTCTTCCGGTTGTTTAACATTTGGAATCCGCGCACCCCATAGCCTAGAGGCGACATCTTCGATCTTTCCAAGTCAACGATTTTTCTTTGAAAGTGAGTAAAATCGAAGAAATTCCGCGAGTTTTCTTCCGATTTTCCGAAAAGGTGAATAAATCGAAAGATTTGGAAAATTTTAATATTGTTAACGAAATCATTTTCCCCCGATTTTTTACAAGTGAATAAATCGATTTTTTTTTTAAGTGAACAAGTATATCGAAGATCTCGAAAATTTTTCAAAAATGAATATATCGATGATATTTCCGATTTTTTAAAAGTGAGTAAATAGATTGAATATTTGGAAAATTTCAAAAGTGAATAAATCGAAGATTTGAAAAACTTTATCGAAGCAATTTTTTCGATTTTTTAAAAGCAAATATGTTGATAGAATTTTGAAGATTTTTTAAAAGTGCATAAATTGAAGATTTGAAAAATTTTGTTAACAATGCGATTTTCTTTTTAAAAATAAGAAAATCAAAGATTTCGATTATATTTTTCTGATTTTTCAAAAGTAAAGTAAAGTAAAGTAAGTAAAGTAAAAATTTCTAAAATTTCATAATTAATGAGAGTTCAGAAAAAAATTTTGTTTGTAATCAACATAAAATATGACATTACAAATATTGATATATTGATATACGAGAAAAGATAAAAATGAAAAAGTGAAATTAAAAAATATGTTTCGAAAGAAACTTTGCTGAATAGAAGTTTAAAAGAAAAATATAATTTCTTAAATTCGTTAGATTTTTTTTGCATTTGTTTAATAAACATTTAGAATAAGAAGAAGGAAAATTTGTAATCAAAAAGATTCAAAGGTAACAATTGAAAATCAGAAGAGAAAAATTTGTTAAGTCTAATTTTATTGATAAATTTTATTGATTTTTTTATTCATTTTATTTTTATTAACTCTTCTCAGTGCTTCTTAAATTTCTTGATTTTGTGATACGTTTTAGAATTCTTGTTAATTCTTAAACACAAATTTTTATACATTATTATAATATAACAAAATATTTTAATTTTTCAATTTAAAAAAATGTATTTATGCATTTATGAGAAATTAAAATTTATATTTATATTAAAAAATATAGGATGGACGTAACAATAATGCAAAAATATACAAAATATCTAAATTAGATTTCTTGTTATAATATTCAAAAGACGAAATAAATCTCCATTTAGATTCCATTCTAATTGAATTCATGAAAATATAAATTTAATATAATAGTATAAATATCCACAATCTACTTATATTACATTTTCTCTAATAATAAACTTCTCTATTATTTTTATTTACCTCTATTATTTTTTATTATTACCAATTATCAAATAAAAACTTTGACTTGAGACAAGAATTATATATAAAAAAAATTTGATGAATCAGATATAACCATTTTCCATTTCGTAAATAAAATTCAAAGTAATATATTCAATAATCGTTATCGTTACAGAAGTATATATATTTTTAAATATCATAAAGATTATTTAGAGGCAAATAGTTCGTTTTGTCGTAAAAAATCGAAACGAAGGACGAGCTTCGAGTTTATGACGCGAAATACAAATATAAAACTATCCATTATTCATGCTAATTGGCGATAATCGCGAAGAATTGTATAATCGGCGAGTCGGCGATTTTCTTCAATTCACTCGTGCGATGAAAGTGCATCGTGGCTGCACACGAGCACACGAGACAAAAATTGCCACGGCCAATGTTTACCATGGACCATGCAAGATGTGTAAATAACGCTAAAAATTCTTCGCCAAGTGTTAGGAAACACGCCGAGATAACGAGCCTCTGCGTTACGCAGTAAACGCGTAATATTTTAAAGATTTATTCGGACTTTCGAATTTTTCACGTTTTCGAAATTTTAAATTTCCCGCCATTTATTTATATTTACATTTTACATTGTAAGAACAGAGAAAAGAAAGTAAACATTTTGATTTTTTTTTTTTTAAATTTTTGAATGTTCGCATTTTTAAATTTTCAAATTTCCCATCTTTCATGTTGATTTTTTTAATTTATATATTTTATCTTACATAAATACAGAAAAGAAAAAAAATTAATGATTTTTATACCTTTTTTAATTGAAAACTTTTTTTATGCTCATATCTTTCTTTCATATTTCCCGCTTTTCGATCGTGTTGATAATTTTTCGTTTACTATTTATTTTATAATATCCCTTTACATAAAATATTTGAATTCCACGATTATATCTAAAATTATTCAGAATTCAATGATTAAATATTTCGTTAAATAATATCTGTTACACATTTAAAGTTTAAAATTTTTCAAATATCTTTCTGTATTTTTTATTCATTGTTTATTATGTTTCGGAAAGATTGTTTATCGAAACGAACGATGAGTCAACATTAAATTCCAATACGTTTCTCATAAAAAAAAAAACTTCAATACAACAACGTAAAAATTGCTCATAAAATTCATACACAGATTTCGAAAAAAAAATATAAAGTAACCTAATATCGATACGAAAAATTTAATTTCATAAGAACTTGATAAGAATTCTTTTTTTCCGAAATTATAATCTATTATAATATCATAATATTAATTAAAACTTGTTATACAAATATTTTAATTGTAGTAATTATAACCTACAAAAGAAATGTATTCAATTTATTATCAATTTTAATTCAATTTGTTAATTCAAAAAGTTATAAAAGTTTGAAGTTTTTCATCAAGAGACTGTCAACCATCATTTTATCTGCAACGATCTAACGATCTAAGTCACGTACAAGGCAAAAGCAAAATTCTACGGAACAAAAAAACGAAACGTTTGCAGCTTGAATTACTGAAATCGAGACGAGCTCCATGAATGATAATTCCAAGAATCATTCGATAGAAAATGAAATTTTTGTGAAATTTTTTACATGAAATTTCGCATTATCATTAATATAGATATCACAAAAAGACATAAATAATCTATATCATTTTATATCTATTATTTTGAATATAATATAATATAATATTTTGATAGTGAAGTCTGAGTTATCAAACTTTTTTTTTTTTTAATTTTTCATTTCATTATAATAAACGAGATTTTATTGTAGAAAAAATTGTGAGAATTATATGAACTTTAATAACTGAAAATAATAGCGCGCATATCGCATAACTGTCGTTGATACGCTGGCATAATTTGACAAAGAATAATTTTTTTAAAGGAAAATTTCGCAAATTGCTTGTATTTATTTTTTTTTTAGTTTTGTCCATTTTTATTAATATTAATTCTCTAATATTCCATGATACATAAGATATTAATTTTTTTTAAAAAATCGATTCTAAATAAAGAAATAAACACAAAAGATATTGATATAAAAATATATCGATTATGTTAGGTGAAGCTTTAAAACATTTATAGTAATAGATTTATGCACAGATTAAAGAAATCATCATTTCGTGCTTTGTTAGACAGGATCTCCGCATGACAATAAAAATATATATTGTAATTCAAAAAAAAATTATATATAATCTCCAAAAATTTGATTTTCTAAAAGTTTCATTTTTATTTTAAAAAGAAAAAACGAATTTTTCTATTCAATTTTTGTTTTTTTAAAATAAATTACAATAAGTGTATTAATTAATATTTTGATAAATAATTATAATGAAATTTATATGATTTTAAATAAGTACATAATCTATTTACCTATTCTATCTATAGAATACATTTGAAAAATTATATATAGACATTAATATAAAATATATTATAAATATATTTTTTGTATAAAAAATTCATTTTCTGATAGATTTAACATCCAATTAAAATAGCATTTTAATAGCATTTTAATAGCATTTCAAATTTTATTAATGATTATTTTATTAGTGATTAACTTGTTATAAAAATATTTTAAGTACCTTACTTTTTCTATGTTTACGAAACACTTTATTTTGCTGCGCACTTTGTGCATACATATTTTCATGGTTCACAGTCGTGATCGCGACTGTTGGCCTCCTTTTACTTTTCGCTTGCCGTGATCATCCTTTTGCTTTTTTCTATGATTTTCGTGGTCCATTCACGAATAACCATTTCTATTTTTCTTTCTTGTGTCCCTCTATCTTATTTATCTAAACCAGTTCATCCATAAATTTCTTTTTCTTTGCTTCTATTTTTTTTCGTTTATCATTCGAAGAAATCAATATGTAATTAAGAAAACAAAAATAGATGTGTGTTTGAGGAAAAAATAACAAAAATATCGTCGCCAATTTGTTAAAAAAAATTCCTGCAATAATCATTAAAGAAAAATTATTAATTTTTTTTTAAAATATAAAATTCGTTAAATGATTACAATGTTGAATTTTGTATAATAAAACAACCTAAATTAAAACTTAAATTTAAAAAAATAACTAATATTATTTGTAATTATATTAGGATTATAAAAATAAAAAAAAATTTAATAATAATTGAAAGCAATAAAATTCTAAGTAATAAATACATAATAATAAAAAAGTAATAGAATTTCTCATATTTCATCATAAAAAAGTAATAGAATTTCTCATATTTGAAAAAATTTTTCAAAGATCTTAAAGATCAAAAATTTAATTAAAAAAAATATCATAAATGATGAATGAATCGAAATTCAAGAACGACACGTGGAAAATATTTTCCCTTTCTTCGCGAATTAAAGAAAATACAATAAAAGATATACAATTCCATTTATTTTTCCTGTTTCTTTAGTGAACGCGGAAATCGGTTACGAAAGAAGCGACACGCGACAAGATATCGGTATTCCATGACGCTAACGACACTGCACCTGATTTGATCGTGACGAATGCTGCACAAATAAAGGAATGTCTTGACAAAGATCTGAATTGGAAATTCTGATGACGACTTACTATTACTACGCGATCGTCTTTATTGTATGACGTGTCCGATACAATAGACTTTAAACTAGTATATGAAAAAACTTACATTACAATTTCTCACTATTATATATAGATCAGTCAATAAGTGTTAACTTTTTTATTCTAAAAGATTTTGCGATTTTATATTGAAGTTTATTTAAAGAAATGGAACAAAACTGTATACCTGTGTAATAGATCAATTCAAATG